TTCCCTTCCCTTCCCCTTCCTCCCTTCCTCCCTTCCTCCCTTTCTCCCTTTCTCCCTTTCTCTCTTTCTCTCTTTCTTTCTTTCTTTTCTTTCTTTCTCTGTCTTTCTTTCTTTTCTTCTTTTTTCCTTTTCTTTTTTCTTTTTCTTTCTTTCTTTTTTTTCTTTTTTGGAGACAGGGTCTCCCTCTGTGGCCCAGGCTGGACTGCAGTGACCTGGTGTGATCTCAGCTCACTGCAACCTCTGCCTCCCAGGCTCAAGTAATCCTCCTACCTCAGCCTCCCAGGTAGGCGGGACTACAGGCACACACCACCACACCTGGCTAATTTTACTATTTTCAGTAGAGATGAGGTTTCTCCATGTTGGCCAGGCTGGTCTAGAGCTCCTGGGCTCAAGCAGTACACCTGCCTCGGCTTCCAAAATTGCTGGTATTGAAAGTGTGAGCCACCGCACCCGGCCTCTGCTCAGTTTCTGAAGGATGCCTTAGAAAGATTTCCATGGAAAAGTTAAAATAATACAATTTCGAACACTTGAAGGGCTAATATTGGGCTATCCAGATAACTGTATTTCTTAACATTTAGGACAGTTGAATTTTTTTGTGTGCTTTTGATGTGTTACAAATCAAAAGGCAGGGATAACAAATATCATTTAAGCTCTCTACTGAGGCTGGATGGTCTTGGCCACATCTTAATTTCACCTGAAAGTTGGGAAGGTGATCAAGTAGATTTTAAGGTGACTTCCATTTCCAAAGATGCCTGAGTCTGCGAGTCTGTGGAAAGTGGAATTTTAGGGGTCTGTGCGTTCCCCACTGGAGCCCGTCTTTGCTGCCTTGGGGAATGTGATTTAGCACATTGATGCACATCTCACAAGTGAGATGTCTATTAACCGGCAGCCTCATCTGACCTGCTTGCATCTAATAGGCAGTTGTTTAGTTCAGCACTTTCCTCTGGGATCTTCTTTGGCCAGCATGCCCTCCTGTGGCTTGGGGAGGAGGCATCATTTTGGTATGATTGAGAGAACGAATCTGTGTCTGTTCAGTGTCTCTTGGAAGATCTTACCTAGGACTATTGGAGGTGGGAACAGTGCTTGGAAGTTCTTTTGCTCCCTTGGGAGAGAAGCTATGCCTCTCTGCATAGAAGAACCAGCCCAACTGCCTCAAAAAGAAAGTCCAAGGGGCACTGTGAATGCTATCTTGGTAGAGAACAGACACTGAGGAGCTGTGCAGTTGAGTTGAACTGGAGGTGAAAATGCAGTCTAAGAACGCCAGTTTTGGGGACTTTAAGGCAGGAAAAGGCTCAGCTGAAGAAAATAGAAAATTTCTTCCTTGTACCAGTGGTTAATTTTTAGCTCTAAGTCTTGTGAGGGGGAGTTTGTGGGTGTGGCTGGGGTGAAACAGCACGGACCTGGTTGACCCTACAGTACCTGTGCCAGTGGGAAACTAGATTGACAAGAAAGCAGTACAATCTATTTTTTTGGGTAGATTTGCATATGCAGATGAGATGCAACTGTAGGCATGATTAAACTGTTGTGTTGGTGCCTCTGGTAAATATTTGCTTTCTGTCTACAGTCCTGGAAAAGTCATTTACATCTTGATAACAACCCAAACATACATTTCTCAAATCAGATAAATGATTCCTTATACACAAACACACACACACACAGCAAAACAAAACAGATACCATCATTTCCTAGCCCTCCAGAAAATGAACTCTATTTCCTTGGGAGCCCTTTCCCCACCAGCCCTGGAGCACCCACTGTCAAGAAAAAGCCACTCCAAGCCTCCTGCATCTTCACTGGTACATCATTCTTGGGAGAAATAAAAATGAAAAGCCAGTGATTGGGTTCATATTATTGGTGGGGCACCATTCTCTAGGCTTTAGGCATTTTCCCATGTATTCCTCGCCACCATTTTAGGGGGCAGGGAATTGTGATTCTACAGTGAAGACACTGAGTTAAGTGACTCCCCCACAATCATACAGTCAAGAAGCTAGAGTTTTAATCCAGGTAGTCAGACTGCAGAGCCTGTGTCCTTAACCTTGATATCAAGCTGCTTCTCATAATAATTCTCACGTAGGCCATCTCTTTTCCAACGTTTCTTTTTAGATGTAGAATTCTTTATCCAGGGGGAGTCTTGGCCAAAGCATAAAAGACAACACAGATAGCAGTGGAGGTGTTCTCACTGAAGCAGGAGTAAGAGGGTGGGGTCTGGAGCCTGGATCCTCCTCCAGTTTTTGTGACTCCGAGTCCCTGGGGTTCCCAGGGATCCGTTTCTCTTCTGAATTGGCTCTTCCTGGGACTCAGGTGCTCTTCTCGCTAGTTGATCCTTCTATTAAGTGCAGTCAGTCCTCATATTCACAGATTTCTTATTTGCAAGTTCATCTACTTGCTAAAATTTATTCATAATCCCAAAAGCAATACTCATAAGACTTTATCTGCCATTCGTGGACACACGCAAAGCGGTGGGAAATGTGTGTTGTCTGACACATGTGCTCTTAGCTGGGGTGGAAGCAGGGGCTGCCCTGCCTTCTTGCTTCTGCTCTCACAATGCCAACGAGTACTTTCTCCCAAGGTCTCATTAGTGCCATATGTTTTGCATTTTTGTGCTTTTGGTTGGTGATTTTGCCATTTAAAGTGGTCCCCAATGGGCTTAGCAGTGAACACCTATAGTCTCAGCACTTTGGGAAGCTGAGACAGGAGGACTGCCTGAGGCCAGGAGTTTGAGACTAGACTGGGCAATGTAGCAAGACCCCCATCTCTACAAAAAACTAAAAAATTAGCCAGGCCTGGTGGTACCACCCTGCAGTCCCAGCTACTCAGGAGGCTGAGGCCAGAGGATGGCTTGAGCCCAGGAGTTCCAGGCTACAGTGAACTATGATCATGTCATTGTACTCCAGCTTGGGTGACAGAGCGAGACCCTGTCTCTAAATTTTTTCTTTAAATAATAAAATAAAATGGTCCCAAGCATAGTGCTGCATGAGTGCTGGCTGATTCTTCTGAGTGCAGGAGGGCTGTGCCAGGGCCTGCAGAGAAACTACATGTGTTAGATGGGTTTCATTCAGATGTGAGTGATAGTGCTGTGGGCCATGATTTAATGTGAGTGGGTTAGTATATATTTAATATATATTAAATAAGGTGTATTTGAACAGAAACACACACAAAATAAGGCAATGTGTTAACTGGTTGGTGAAAGTGTTGTCACCTAACCGTGTATTTCCCCAAGGAGCCCTTAGTATTCACTATTGCAGTGTTGGTGGTAACTTTATAAAACATAGCTACTATGAATAATGAGAACTGACTGAACTCATCATATTTTGAAAGCTTCTCACTGGGCAGATAACGTGCTAGAACCTTATTTAAATGAACCCTAATTCTCAACCCTGTACGCTTAGTATTATTACTCCAGTTTATAGATGGTAAAACTGAAGGCTAAACAATTTGCCAAAGTCACTACACTAGAGAGAGGTGAGGCCAAGGCTGAGTGCCACGTAGCACTATTGTTATCTTTCCTTTCTGCTAACACTTTTTTTTCCTTTTTTCTAGATACAGGGACTTGCTTTGAGGCCCAAGGTGGAGTGCAATGGCATGATCATGGCTCGCTGCAGCCTCGACCTCCTGGGTTCAACTGATCCTCCTACCTCAGCCTCCTGAGTAGCTGGGATTACAAGCATGCCAACACTTGGTTAATTTAAAGACATTTTTGTAGAGATGAGACTCTCTATGTTGCCCAGGCTGGTGTTGAACTCCTGGCCTCAAGTGATCCTCCATCCTCGGCCTCTCAAAGTGCTGGGATTACAGATGTGAGCCACAGGGCCCGTGCTGACCACCTGCGTTTAGTGAACTCTCCCACTTTGGCATCTTGTACCCTTCAGCCCCTGACTCCCAGCTGGTTTCTTTGGCCATGGGTTGAACACAGTACTCCCCACATCTTCTCTCTACTCCACATACACATACACAAACCCCATCGGCGCTGGGATGCTCTTACAGAGACAGTCGGGAGTTGATGCCCAGACACCTCCACCTTCTGTGCTTCCCTTACCTCTAGCTAGCTTCACATAGCCATTGGAGTTAGGATTTCTTTTCCTTTTTGAGACAGAGTCTCGCTCTGTCACCCAGGCTGGAGTGCAGTGGTGCGATCTGGGCTCACTGCAACCTCTGCCTCCTGGGTTCAAGTGATTCTCCTGCCTCAGCCTTCCAAGTAGCAGGGACTACAGGTGCCCGCCACCACGCCTGGCTAATTTTTGTATTTTTAGTACAGATGGGGTTTCACCATGTTGGCCAGGCTTGTCTCGAACTCCTGACCTCAAGTGATCCACCCGCCTCGGCCTCCCAAAGTGCTGGAATTTACAGGTGTGAGCCACTGGGCCTGGCCAGAGTTAGGATTTCCAAGTAAAGCAAAATGTCACCTAGCAGGAGAGAGGAAAAAAGGAGAAAGAGAAAAAAGACAAGGAATGGGGATGGGGTAGACGTCAAGGAGGAAGAGCAAAGGTGACCAGGATGAGAAGGGAGGTGGGTGGGCATGGGCTGCTCAGAAGATGTGCTGAAGGGTGGGACCAGAGGAGCTGACCCTGAGATGCACCTGTCACTGACACTGGGTCATTCTTTACATTTCAAAATCATTTTCACATCTCTCATCCCATTTTGCATATCACAGTCACTGCGAGTGGGTGAAGAACACATTCTTTTTTCCTGCTTCACTGATGAGAAAACTGAAGCATGAAGAGCTCCAGTGATTTGCTCATGGTCATGCAGTGCTAATTTATTCTGCATTTGGGACAGGCTATTTCTATCACACAGCAAATTCAGTAATTGCTTTCCTGATATTTCATTTTTTTTTAAAAAAAAGCCAATACCATAAGCAGTCTATTAGGAGACAAATTCTCCTTTATTTTATACACCCTGTGACTATTTCAATATTTTTACTTAACTACAATTTCTCCAAATTCATTGCTCATGTCGGAGCATTTGACTAAAATATAGCAAAACCACTGTTCCTTTCAAGGGGGTCAAAACGTTTTCCATGGATGGGAGCTTGTCATGTGAGTAAAGATGAAAGTAGCTTTGTTGCACTCTTCTGGGAATCTTTCTAGGGATATTACTAAAGTCAAGAATAGATCAGAAATGAAGAAAAGATGGGGATATAAAGAATAGCTTTCATGGAAAATTGAAATCATTCCTTTTCAAGTTTACAATTTCCACCCTGATCATAGCTCCCCAACCCTGCAGGATGGGTTCTTCCCAGATATGAAGGTGGCTGCGGCGATAGGATTTTGATGCAACTGTGATTGATGTCAGCAGGTCCAGACCATGATAGTTCATGACAAATTTAACAGACATTTATTAAGTAGATTCAATGGGAACAGCTCCAGGCTAGATGGGGCTGGGTGATACAAAGGGAAGATGTAATCTGTGAAGGTCGTAGGGGCCAGTGAGGGATTGAAATACCATGGATATGGGTTGTCATACACCCACTTCACACCAGTTGCTCTTATTCTATGCCATCATTTCACAGAAACCTCCCACAAATGCCGAGTGGAATGGCATGATTCTCCTTATTGCAAGATGAGACTGTCTGGAAGGATCCAGTGACTTCCCCAGTGAGTTGGGGACTGCCCCCAGCTTTGCACCCAGGCTTTTGTCTCTAAGGGAAGAGCTATCACTCACTGCACAGGAAGCAGCAGGAGAATAACCAAGTCACGGTCTAAAGTTGGGACACCCGACTGAGATACAGATTTCTGCCTGCACCCATGATACAGGAATTCAGAATAAGGGTGAGATCCTTGTGGGCTCGTGTGATGGTGGCATGGCGATTCATGCTTGATTGAGAAGACAAAACATGAACACTTCTTTAAGACAAAACATGAACACTTTAAGGGCTTCTTGCACAAGTGAAGTGGTTGTGGAAATGTTTTCAAGGAGCAAATGCCTTTTTAATAGAAAAATTGACTTGACTAGTTAGCAGAAGTTTTTCTTTCTTGGGTTAAAAGTAGTTGCTGCTATTATATCCTGAAGCATCTGGCTGTCCTGATGGGGACATATGAGCGCTGCCACAGGCCTGGAATATCCCAGGCGGGTAAGAATAGCCCACAATAAGAGATGACTGCTGCTTGCTCTGCTGGTCACTGCAGTTGTCAGGAATGTTTTGCCTCAGAGGCTTAGGGCCGTCTCAACTTGGAGACAGAAAAACCCATCTCCTACTCCTGGCTCAAAGCTTTGCTTTCTTATCTCCAGCTCACACCTTTAAGTCTTTTGTAATTAACGGACATTTATCCAGGCGAGGATTTTTCCACCTCCTTGGAGAACACGCCCTGCAGTGTCTCCTGCAGCCTGGAGCCTGTGACATTCTGGAAGCATGGAAGGCGTGGACTTGCTAGGGTTTCTCATCATCACACTAAATTGCAACGTGACCATGGTGGGTGAGTATTGGGACTGTCTCCAAACTCCCGCGCAGTTTTTGTTTCCATTGCCATGGTGGAATTGAGTCCTTCTTAAAGGGTCCAGGTATTTCCTCATTTTCAGTGTGCAGGCACCAAGCTGAAAGTTCACCCACTGCCAAAACAAAGGGCTGCTGTGCCTTTCTGGAGGAAAGAGAGCTAAGGCTTCTATTTTTTTAGAATGGTTCTGCGGTTCCTCTGTCATGTAAGGGTCTTGCGTGTGACACTGTTCTCTCACAGGCCCTCCTGTGCTGACACTGGGGTGCTGACTCCGAAGACTGAAGCAGGTGGAGGGGTATTTGTGTGCAACCCTGGTGTGGCTACGTTACCAGGAAAAGGCACAGAACAGCAAATGTGAATGAGAAAGTGATCCCTTTAGGTTTTATCCTGGAAGCTTAATTTTTGTTTTTGTTTTTGGAGACAGAGTGTTACTCTGTCACCGAGGCTGGAGTGCAGTGGTGCGATCTCAGCTCACTGCAACCTCTGCCTCCCGGGTTCAAGTGATTCTCCTGCCTCAGCCTCCCGAGTAGCTGGGACTACAAGCACATGCCACCACGCCTGGCTAATTTTTTGTGTGTTTTTGGTAGAGACGGGGTTTCACTGTGTTAGCCAGGATGGTCTCGATCTCCTGACCTTGTGATCCACCTGCCTCAGCTTCCCAAAGTGCTGGGATTACAGGCGTGAGTTACCATGCCTGGCCTGGAAGCTTAATTTTTAAGGAGTAGCCATTTCTCTTGTGCACTTTAAACCAAATCCCAAGTTTAGTTTAGTTATTTTTTTAACGAAGAAAATAACAGATTTTTGTTTAATGTAGATGACTCACATTTTCAGAGAGGTATGGGGGTCAGCAAAGGATGAATATATGCCAGAGATGCAGTTGATACTTTCCCGGCTCATTGTTTTGTAGATTTAGACAAGATCAACTTGATGTTAAAAGTTCAACTCAATGACTCATCACGTAGTGATATTATTCTTTGTTTGACTTTATTTATTTATTTTTGTTTTGTTTTGTTTTTCTGATGTCAGGCGATGTTTCTCTCATTTCAAAACACAATATTCACAAGTTATTTTGGCTGAGTTTTAAACACGTTTCGAAACAGTTGGTCGGTGCCATGAAAATAGGGCTTGACAGTTATTTTGGTTTCCCAGCTTGGTGTCACTCAGTCACCATACATTGAAGAAGGACAAGCCTCATTCATTCTTAATAGCTGGAAAAGGGGAAGAGGAATTCTGAATGATTAAAAAATCTGAACAATGGAATGTTCATAAAGAAATTCAATTTCAAAGGCCATAGACTAACATTAAATACAAGCCCTGTGATTAAATAGAGATCCCTGGACTGTTGCATAAGTAAGAAGATTTACTGAAATCAGCAGCTCGAATTGGCTATACACAGTTACAGAAATATGCCAACCTCTTTTAAAAAGCTTATTCTCCTAAGAAGAAAATGTAAATCTTATTTACATCATTAATTTGCTCACCCAAACTTTCTTTCTGGATCTGTCAGTCCAGGAGACATTACCAAAAGTCTGAATTAGCAGACAGATTAAAACACTTTTAATATAATGCTTTTAAAAAATCTGCTCATCTTGAAGCATCTTACAAACAAGGATGTTCAGTGCTCAATAAATACTTGTCAAATGAACTACCTGATACTCTTGCTGTGAGTAAAGACAAGCTGACAGGTGTGGTGGCTCATGCCTGCAATCCCAGCTACTTAGGAAGCCAAGGCGGCAGGAGCACTTGAGGTCAGGAGTTCAAGACCAGCCTGGGCAACATAGCACGACCCTATGTACAACAAACAAACAAACAAACAAACAAACAAACAGAAAACTAAAGACATGCTTATTGACGTCTCAGTTCCCCAATCTCAGCCCCAATACAAACTTTAAAACTGTTGTTCAAGGCAGTGTATTCCGGGGTGATGAGGCTATGCCTGCTTCCTCTCTTCCAGGAAAGCTCTGGTTCGTCCTCACGATGCTGCTACGGATGCTGGTGATCGTCTTGGCGGGGCGCCCCGTCTACCAGGACGAGCAGGAGAGATTTGTCTGCAACACGCTGCAGCCGGGATGCGCCAACGTTTGCTATGACGTCTTCTCCCCCGTGTCTCACCTGCGGTTCTGGCTGATCCAGGGCGTGTGCGTCCTCCTCCCCTCCGCTGTCTTCAGCGTCTATGTCCTGCACCGAGGAGCCACGCTAGCCGCGCTAGGCCCCCGCCGCTGCCCCGAACCCCAGGACACGGCCTCTGGGCAGAGACGCTGCCCGGGGTCCTGCAGGGAGCGCGGTGGCCTCGAGGTGCCCGACTTCTCGGCCGGCTACATCATCCACCTCCTCCTCCGGACCCTGCTGGAGGCAGCCTTCGGGGCCTTGAACTACCTTCTCTTTGGGTTCCTGGCCCCAAATAAGTTCCCTTGCACGCGTCCTCCGTGCACGGGCGTGGTGGACTGCTACGTGTCGCGGCCCACGGAGAAGTCCCTGCTGATGCTGTTCCTCTGGGCGGTCAGCGCACTGTCTTTCCTGCTGGGCCTCGCAGACCTGGTCTGCAGCCTGCGGCGGCGGATGCGCAGGAGGCCCGGACCCCCGACGAGCCCCTCCATCCGGAAGCAGGGCGGAGCCCCTGGCCACCCCGAGGGACGCCCGACGGACAAGGAGGGTGGGCGGGAGCAAGAGGGGGCGCCTGCGCCCCGGGTTGCACGCGCCGGAGGGGAGGGGGCCGGCAGCCCCAGGGTTACATCCAGGGTGTCAGGGCACACGAAGATTCCGGTTGAGGATGAAAGTGAGGTGACATCCTCCGCCAGCGAAAAGTTGGGCAGGCAGCCCCGAGGCAGGCCCTACCGAGAGGCCGCCCAGGACCCGAGGGGCTCAGGGTCCGAGGAGCAGCCCTCAGCAGCCCCCAGCCACCTAGCGGCGCACCCTTCCTGCAGCCGCCTGCAGCCCCCTGACCCGCCTGCCAGCTCCGTGGGTGCTCCCCACCTGAGAGCCAGGAAGTCTGAGTGGGTGTGAAAAAAACAGCACCTGGCCATGCCCCGGGGCTCACGCCTGTAATCCCGACACTTTGGGAGGCCCAAGCAGGAGGATCGCTTGAGAATGTATCTCCTTGCCCAGGAGTTTGAGACCAGCCTGGGCAACATAGTGAGACCCTCGTCTCTACAAAATATCTAAAAATTAGCTGGGCACAGTGGCTCCCGCCTGTAGTCCCAGCTACTTGGAGGGCTGAGGTGGGAGGACCATTTGAGCCTGGGAGATTGAGGCTGCAGTGAGCCAAGATCATGGCATGGCACTGCACTGCAGCCTGGGGAACAGAGTGATACTCTGTCAAAAAAAAAAAAAAAAAAAAAAAGCACAATGCAGAGCTGAGAGAGCCCAGCTGTCCTTTGCACACGGGAATGCCTGTGCTGATGCACACTCACTTTGGCACCTGGCAGAAGGGCGAGCTGACCTGGGGACACACGGACGTCACGGGAGATATATTCTCAGTACGGATTTAATTTAGATAACACTTTTTAATTTTTTTAAAAAAGCACATGACATTCAATGTCCCAGCAAAACTAAAGTGATGAACTGGAGTCGGCTTTCTGATAATGGTGAGATGGTTCTGTCGGCCACACTCTCCCGGTTCTGCTATCAAATTCTTTGCCATGTATTTCATGTAAGGCATGTTTTCTTCCGTTAGTATATTGATGTTTAATATTTTCTAGTGAATTATGAGGTTTTTTTTTGTTTTTGTTATTCTGCTTTGGATGAAAGAAACATCTGTTATGCGTGTCATAAATAGAGAGACATTAAACTTCTCCTAACCGCTTAATAAAATTGTATTAGTTCATTTCATACTGCTATGAAGAAATATCCGAGACTGGGTAATTTATAAAGAAAAAGAAGATTTTTTGTTTGTTTTTTTTTCCTTTGTTTTTTGAGTCGGAGTCTCACTCTGTCGCCCAGGCTGGAGTGCAGTGGCGTGATCTCTGCTCACTGCAAGATCCACCCTCTTGTTTCACACCATTCTCCTGCCTCAGCCTCCCGAGTAGCTGGGACTACAGGTGCACGCCACCAGGCCTGGCTAATTTTTTGTGTGTTTAGTAAAGATGGGGTTTCACCATGTTCGCCAGGATGGTCTTGATCTCCTGACCTCGTGATCCACCCACCTTGTCCTCCCAAAGTGCTGGGATTACAGGCATGAGCCACTGTGCCCGGCAGAAAAAGAAGTTTAATGGACTCACAATTCTACATGGCTGGGCAGACCTCACAATCATGGCAGAAGGTGAAGGAGGAGCAAAGTCACACCTTACATGGTAGCAGGCAAGAGAGCATGTGCAGGGGAACTCCCCTGTATAAAACAGTCAGATCTTGTAAGACTTACTATCATGAGAATAGCAGGGGAAAACCCGCCCCATGATTCAATTACCTCCTACCAGGTCCCTCCCACAACACGCGGGGACTATGGGAGCTACAATTCAAGTTGAGATTTGGGCGGGGACACAACCAAACCATATAAAAAATTAATGCTGATTGCATTATAATACCATGCTTCATACATCATTGTGTTAGAGCAGAAATGACAAATGCAGAAAATATGGCTAATAAACAGTTGGGTTGGGGGGGGCATCGTATACTATTCCTGTGTATGGGTGTAAAGTGCACAGGATGTAGGATGAGTTGCCCCTGTGTGTGTATGCTGGGTGGCTGTCCTCACTGCATAGAGGGAGTGCTTTTGCTGTAGAGGAGTGACCATAGATTTGTCACAAGTTTTTTAGTTCAGGCTTTGTCTGTGCCCTTTAGAGAGTCATACAATTCAGACTTCCCTGAGAATCTTCATGTTCCAGTGGAGAAGATGAAAAAAAACCATGGGTATTGTGGAATGCACAGTCTGTGTTTATGAATTTTGTGTAGCAACAGACAACTGCCCCAGGTCTTGGGCTGGGCTTCTGATCCAGGCCTTTCTGCACTGCTTAGCATCATTCTAGCTTTGATCTAGGTGCTGCCCAAGTTCAGGTGTGACGTCCAAGTTTAGTGCTGGCCGAAATCAGGCAGGTGGGAGGATACAGTAGAGCAGATATTTGCTATGGGACGGGATTAACTTGCTCACCCTAATCAAGAGAGGAAAGAGGCATCTGCATGTAGTTCAGAAATAGATGACTATTCCCTGGTTTCCAAGTATGGAAGGGCTGAGGAGCGGCACCACCCTTCACTCCAGCAAATAACAAAAGAGGTGAACCAACTCCTCATCAAGACGATGGGCACTTTGACTCTTCTAAAGAAGACCTTGACGATGAAATACCCTCAAACATGGAGAATAACAGCCTGCTTGGTGTATCTGCAGGGTATCAAGGCAGTTGGTCCAAACTTTAAACAAAAATCCCAAATTGGTTTTGGCATAATGCTATTTGAATGTATGTGCCTATTTTAATATATTATCTCCTCTCTCTCTCTCCTCTCTCTTTCTCTCACTTTTGCTCCTTAAGCCACTGAAAGCTGTGAGCCATGCCTCCGACCCCTGTCTTCAATATTTAGATCAATGTCTGGCACAGAGTGGCTGCTCAAAAAACTGTTTTGTTTTCTTTTTTTCATCTGATATTCCCGAAGCATTCAGGGGCAAATCTTATTGTTCCTTGTAGTATCCAATTCTGGTGGACTTCCCAAGTCTCTCTAAGTCTTCCCAGTCTTATAGAGATAAAGGATTTCTTTATTTCTTTCTCCTTCCTTCCTTCCTCCCTCTCTTCCTCCCTCCCTCTCTCTTTTCCTTCCTTCCTTCCTTCTTTCCTTCATCCCTTCCTTCCTTCCTTTCCCTTTCCTTTCCTTTCCCTTCCCCTTCCCCTTCCCCTTCCTCCCTTCCTTCCTTCCTTCCTTCCTTCCTCCCTCCCTCCCTCCCTCCCTCTCTCTCTCTCTCTCTCTCTTTCTCTCTCTCTCTCTCTCTCTTTCTTTCTTTCTTTCTTTCTTTCTTTCTTTCTTTCTTTCTTTCTTTCTTTCTTTCTTTCTTTCTTTCTTTCTTTCATCTCTTTCCTTTCTTCTGATCTTCCTTCTTTCCATTTTTGAGGCAGGATCTTGCTCTGTCACCCAGGCTGGAGTGCAGTGATCATGGTTCACTGCATGAGCTCCCTCTGGGACAGGTAGGGTAAGGGGGAGGGTAAGGGGCCCAGGGTAGGAGATCCGGGCTCTGGCCTCACGCCCACCATTGCCTAGCAGGTCGGTCCCTCCCCTGGGCCCCTCATGATGAGAGGCCCTGACCAGGGGATTCTTTAGTGCTCTACGAGGGTCAGACTCTGTCAGTGAGATGTGCGGCTGTCAGTCACCTTAGCATTAGCAGGTACTCATTTATGAGGCCTATCCAGCTACCTGCCTGCATGCAGGTTTTGATCAGATGAAAATGGTAAGAACAATAGAGGCCTCTGTGTCCTCAGAGGAGCTGCCATGGCGAGGATGTGGAGAAAAGGGAACTCTCATTCTCTGTTGTGCACTGTTGGTGGAAATGTAAATTAGTACAACCACTATGGAGAAAAGCATAGAGGTTTCTCAAAAAACTGAAAATAGAGATACAGGATCCAGCAATCCCACTGCTGGGTATGTACCCCAAAGAAAAGAAACCAGAATGACAACGAGATAGCTGCACTCCCATGTTTATTGCAACACTAGTCACAATAGCAAAGATTTGGAAACAACCTAAGGGTCCATCGATTGATGGATGGATAAAGAAAATGTGGTTTATATGCAGAATGGAGTACTATTCAGACATAAAAAAGATGAAATCTTGTTATTGGCAGCAACATGGATGGATCTGGAGGATATTATTTTATGTGAAATGAGCCAGGCACAGAAAGATAGATGTCATAGGCTCTCACTTCTACGTGGGAGCTGAAGAAGTGGATCTCATGGAGGTAGAGAGCAGAGTGGGGGTCACCAGAGAAGGGGAAGGCGAGGGGGCCTGAAGGGAAAAAGAAAGAATACAAATGCACTTATTACCACCAAGGTGTACACTGAACAGTCATAAAGATGGTAGATTATGTATGTCTATTTTACCTCCATAAAAATAAATGTTAAGAAAAGAAGAGCTGTCAAAACAGAGACAGGGACCCCGTGGAAAGTGGGGGCAGATGGTACGAGCACGAATCCTCAACTTCATATTCTACTGAGTGATGACTGAGAGTTGAGTGGACAGACCTGGGGGCCACAGAAGACATCTGATGGGACCCTGCCCTGTGAGGAGCAAGGTGGCGGAAGAGGCATTGCCTGTCCTAGAGCTTGGCTGGCCATGCTCACGTGACCGTGACTGTGCTGTGAAAGGTGCTAATGCAGGTGTCCTTCTTTCTCTTCTCTTTGCTGTCACACTGGGTGCTGAAGATCTCTCCTAGTTTTGTAACTTAGGTTGTGAAGCCTTAAATATTTTTTCCAGTCCATGGCCAGGTGTGGTGGCTTGCGCCTATAATCGCAACACTTTGGCAGGCCAGGTGGGTGGATCACTTGAGGTCAGGGGTTTGAGACCAGCCTGGCCAACATGGTGAAACCCTGTCTTTTTTTAAAAAAGACAAAAATTAGCTGGGCATAGTGACGGGTGCCTGTAATTCGAGCTACTCAGAAGGTCAAGGCAGGAAAATTGCTTGAACCCAAAAGGCAGAGGTTGCAGTGAGCCGAGATCATGCCATTGCACTCCAGCCAGGGCCACAAAGCAAAAGTCCGTCTCAAAAAAAAAAGAAAAAAAAAAAAAAAGAAAACTTTTTCCAGTCCTTTAAAGGGAGAGGGAAAAAAAATCTTCGACTATAATCAAAAGGCTAAAAAAAAGAAAACCCAAACAAACAGTAGAAAATCATGTGGCTTCCATCTTCCTTTTCAGACTTCAATCTGTGTCTTTGCATGTTGACACCGAATGATTGAAAGATGGCTCACAGGTCTGCATCCCTCCCACAGACAGTTAAGGAGGATCCTATGGCTTAGGGCAGAGACAGTGTGCAAGTTAATGTAACTGCAGCTGCAATAACAGGCAAACCCCGATTTTAGCCACTTAATGCAGACGAAGCCTCAATGAGTACAAAATGTCTATTCCTGATGTGAGCAGCTCTGATCCAGGTGGTGACTCAGGGACCGCTCCATCCTGTGGCACCGACATCTTCTGCCCACGTTACTGATTGCTTTTGGGGAGGACAAGAGGGGCTCCCTAGGCCTGGCCTCGAAATGGCACTGGCCATGTTCTCTAACCAGAACTCAGTCCCAGCTGCAAGGGAAGCTATGAAAGGTGGCTTAGCTACGTGCCCAGAAAGAAGGAGGAAAAGTTGGGGTGAACAGGGAGCCAGTGTTTAGCTAAGGCAACAATTATTATCTGGGCACCTTC